TAGTGATAAGCTAATACCAACAGGAAGAGCAAGCAGAGCCCATAATGGCAACTCATTCAGGCAACAAAAATGCTCAACAAATATTAGACGGGATTCCTTCTACCCGAGGACAATCAGAGACTGGAACGCCCTCCCCTCCAGTACAGTGTCCGCAGTGAGCCTTGAATCCTTCAAGACTCACCTGGCTGCCTAATTTATTCTGCTCTGTTTTTAAACTCACTACTTGTATAGTTGCACCTTTTTTAACGCGCACACCCTACACAGTGGCAGAATAATCAGCTTATTGATGGCGGCCGCTTGCCGGTAGAAGTAGAAGTAGAAGTATAGAAGAATTGCTCTTCACCATATGTTGTATTTTGTCTAATACTTTTAAAGAAATAAAATTTGGAGTGTTAGTCAGGGTTTAAACTTAACTGAAATTTCCACGAGCCATGTGGGCTCCTGACATTTCAAATTTAGGAGCCCACTGCTAAATTTGTTAGCCCCCAGTCTCTGTGATTTTTTTTAAAAAGCATAGATACCTGGGACAAAAAGTAGATACAAATGAAATACATATATAAATTCATCTGATTAAAATTGGAGTTCTTACTTTATAAAAATCAGATGTCATATAAATATTTAATCAAAGGAAATAAAATTGTATTCAATAAACATTTTTACTATCTTTTTTTTTACTTGGTAATACATGTATATAAATACGTAGCCCTGGTACATGTCTTCAACTGATAAATTGACAATGACACTATAAGATTTTCTAGGTTAAATATCTTAACTACAACATATCTGAAATAGGTGAAAACACTTAGTATTCATATGACTTAGTAGTTGGGAGTTATTAAAATTGTATATCTCTCATGTATCAACCATTTAGAGAGGGTTGGAGGAAATTCGGATTAGAAAAAAAGAGGGTGTTGCTAAAACGCGGAACGGAAAACGGAACGGAACGGAAAACGGAATATATTATTTTGGATTAAATCACTTAAAATACACAAATTTTATCATAAACGATATATCTTGTACACATTCAATCCCCCACTATTAAATACAAGTTGATTTTGTCATGCTCAGTCTCTTATTTACGAAAATCGCTAACATAGCAGTCACTTAGAATCGAATTTGAAAAAAAAGGGGGGGGGGGGGGTAAACGAACTTGAAAAGTTTTTGACAAGCAAAAACACAAAAAGAAGATAATTGTTTGATTCGGGTCGGGGGGGGCTAAAACACAAAAAGAAAACAATTGTTTGATTCGGGAGGGGGATAAGTTCCAACTCCAACATTTTTCAGTACTATTTTTTTACACTAACTTACTACATGAATTACATTCACAAAAAGTGTGAGGATGTGAACTTGAACGAACATTTCCTTAGAAAAAAGGCTATGACTGGGGGGGGGGGGGGCAAATATTTGATATCTTATTGAACCATGGAGAGAGAAATAAAATGTAAAAAAAAAATATATTAAGATTGCTTTTAGGGCAAATCTTTACGGCAAGCTCGAACAAACATCTCTTATACACACTGGTTGTTAAAATTTTATTCAAAATAGAGTCGTTTTCTGGATAGACAAAGCTGGAAAACTTTCACTAATGATGTGGTAGATATAATGCAGAATCTTTAAATTTAAATTTTGTTTGTTTGCTGTACATATGTGTGTATGTTAGGGGGGTGGGGTGGGGTGGGGTGGAGGGTGTTTATGAATGACCCCGTAAAAATGTGATAGGTCTGCCCCCCCCCTTTTTGTGTCCAAAAAATACATAAGGTTTAATAAATTAATTTTTAATGTGGCTGTGGGTCCCTAGACTCCCTACACAGAACCAGAAACTGCCACTTTCCCTTTCATCATTCGCGAATTCGACGACACTGCGTGCATAATCTGAATATCAAAACTAGTTATTTTTGTCTTTACAGACATTAAATTGACATTGGAATTAAACAAATTGAAAGAGGGGGTGGGGGTCAGGGGTCAGTAAAAAATTTCCAACATACAACAAATTTGACAAGCAAAAAAGGGGGATATGTCCTTTGCCCAAACACGAAAATCCAATTTCATGTGTGTGTGAGGGGGGGGGGGGGGTGTCGAATTTCAGTACCATTTTGTATGTGTGGATGACTCATAAATATATAATAGTTTACAATAAATTTTTATTAGAAATTACTTTTACAACAAGAATATTGCTCTTTTATCTGATTTATATCCAATCTTTGTTATTTGCTTGACAAATATTTTCCGTTTTCCGTTCCGTTCCGTTTTCCGTTCCGCGTTTTAGCAACACCCGGAAAAAAGACGATCGTTTTAGGGAATTTCACAAATCGTGTAGTACTTTAAATGGAAAAGATGAAGAAGAATATTTACGAACATTGGGACCACACTGCTGTGATTTATTTCATTTTTTTGTAGTTTTAAATCAAAAACCTGCATAAAATGTCTGTTTTTCAGTAAGGGGACTGGGAATGAATTCGGTCCCTTGCAGAATTTTTATTCGCCACTTGGGCGAACAACTTACAAATTTTATGGGCCCACACCAATTTTTACTCGCAGTTTGCGAGTGGGCGAGCGTTAAGTTTAAACCCTGTTAGTCATTATGAAATAAAAGATAAGAGTCTTTGCTATAAATAATATTGATTGACACATCTAGCTTTTGAGTATCTGTTGCATATAAAACAAAATAAAAACGTAGTATTTTTTTTATAGACCCTTTTCCTATGACACATTTTGTCTAGGAGTTACTCCCCTTAGCTGCCATATTGTAGGGCAACATTCCCAGATCCCTTCATTATTCAACCAAGTTCAATTTGGTATACTGGTTACTGAGGTAAGGATAATGCTATTTTTCTTATGAATATACATTTGTTAAAGCATCTATTAATTCATGATTATAAGATTGTGAACATTTCCCCCCATATATTTCTTGCATGTGCGTTTAAAATTGGTTGCTCAAAGAGGTAAATTCACTACTTTGCCCTACAAGATGGCGGCTAAGGGGAATAACTCCTAGGCAAAATATGTCATGGGAAAAGGGTCTATACCCTAATGTTGACCTTTTTGCACTTAAAATTAGGCATTTACCAAATATAGGACTAGAGGACCACTAAAAAAATTTTTGATGTTGTCACGTGTAAACGCTTTAAGAAGTCTACATGCAAAAAATAATTAAAATCCATGACATGCCATGTGCCACCTATTGCCTGGTTTTTCGGTGGACTGCCTCTTAAGATGTTTGAACACTGAAGAAAATCATCGTCGCAAACCACGGCTAAAATGTACGATCCTCTCCCATTCTGGCCGTGGTTGAACGAGGAGAGAATTCTTCGTAGCTCATTAAAATTTTGACCAATGCGAGTAAAGCATAATCGGAAGATGAACTTTATTGCGACCTTTCAATATCCAAATGCAGTAAAGGAAATATTTCTTGTATACTGTTGACGTCAGTTGTTGATTTCAATTGCGATGGAAACAAAACTTGCCACTACTGAATATGACGTCACAATAGAGAGGGGTAAATATTCAAGATTATGACACTTTTTGTGATCAAGCAGCCACGGGTAGGAGAGAGCTATATGCGGACTCCGGACCGTGGCTTGAGACGATGGAAGAAAATATGCTTCGTTAAAATAGAAATCTTTTATAAATAACAATTTTGGAAATATGAAAAATCAAATAAAAAAAAAAAATAAATAAACTAAAGCATTTATTAACCTTATTTCCTAAGAATAAATAAAGAAAGCATGGATATTATGATAAATCTTTTATGCAAACACAGTGTTTTATGCAATAATATTATGTAAATGCATGATGAAAGAAATAAATAACCTATAGCTATGATAACTGTAAGTATTGACTATAATTTAATTTTGCATATAAAATATACATTATTGAATAACACTTGTTTTTTTTCCTTGTAATTTACAAGAAAAAAATAATGGGGGCGAGTTGTCTTGAGTGGGGGCGAGTTGTCTTAAATTGGGGGCGAGTTGTCTTAAGAAGTGTTGGGGGCGACTTGTCTTGGGGGCGAGTTGTCCTGATTCCATACTCTATTATGTTTATATGTTATTAGGTCACCTGAGTAAACTCAGGTGACCTATTGCTCTCTGTTTTCGTCCGTCGTCGTTCGTTTATATATTTAGATTTTCAGCTTCTTCTCTGCAACTACTTAACCAATTTCAACCAAATTTGGCACAAAGCATCTATGGGTGAAGGGGAACAAAAATTGTGAATTTCATGATCCCTGCCCCCCTGGGGCCTGAGGGGTGGGGCCAAAACCACTAAAATTAATGCAATCTTTAAAAATCTTCTTCTTTACTCCTGGACATCAAGCAATCAAACTGTTTGCATGATTGTAATCAGCAATGAGTCCTCTACCAAAATTTTGAAATTCATGGCCCTGGGGTCAGGGGTTCTAGTGCTAGGGCGGGGCTAAATAAGTAGGTAGTGAAAATGCATTATTTCTTTGAAAATCTTCTTCTCTGCTCCTGGGTATTAAATAAACCAACAAAGTACATAGTAATGATGAGCAAGAGTGCCTCTACCAAAATTGTGAATTTTATGGCCCCAGGGTCAGGGGTTCTGGTGTTAGGGTGGGGCTCTATTGATTATATAGTGAAAATACATTATTTCTTTGAAAATCTTCCTATCTGCTCCTGGGTATTAAATAAACTAACTAAGTACATAGTTATGATAAGCAAGAGTGCCTCTACCAAAATTGTGAATTTTATGGCCCCAGGGTCAGGGGTTCTTGTTTTAGGGTGGGGCTCTAATGATTATATAGTGAATTGCATGAATTCTTTGAACATCTTATCCTTTGCTCCTTGTTAATATGCTAATGATCTAATTACATATTTAAGGCCAGGATTTATTTTATTTTCAGTTGTGCAAATCCTCCGCTCAAGGTTTTGAATTTTCAGAAAAAAAATTAAACATTTTTTACCCCGATGGTCAAATATGTCTCAGTCGGGATCGAGATTTCAAATTTACGAACTCGCACTTCCGGTTTTAAGATGAAACGGCGGGTAAATAAAGCTTTCTTGGTTTAGTGTAAAATTCATCGATACGAGTGCCATTCAAAACGTTTCACCCATTCAAAGGACAAATAAAATGCTGACGACTTTGTTGCACAATGACTTGCTGGTGAGATAATTATGTATTCGTTTCAAAAGTATCTATATCTGTCTGTAAATTATTTTCCTCCCCCAGGTTTTAAACTGCCCGTACGTGGTAGCTATTGCATATTGCCAGCGACATTGTTTAGGTCTCTGTTATAGCTTACAGTCTAAGCATCATTCTTCAGATAAGGGTTGCTTATGCATCAGATGTAATGAATAAAACTATGGGAGAAGTTAAGTCCATTTGAGGAAGAAATGAACAATAACCTGAAGAAATAAAAAAAATTAACTATTAAAAGGCAAGAATATACAAATATATACAGGCATGTAGTATCATTTGTATCAGCCAGAGAAATTATTTTACACTTAATTGAAAAAATATTCACCCTACTCCCCAATACTCCCTGTCTGTTTTATGATAGGAATTATAATTTTAGGCATCAAGTAAATTTTAGAACAATGTCTACACATTCACCTAACACATATTAAAAAAAATGAAGATATATTGAAAGACTTTTAAAGAATTGATTTTTTAAAATATATTTTGACCAAGTTTCACAAAATTTATATAACTGGCCCAAACTGGCGGATGATGAAATAAGCAATTAAATGTTCTACTTTCCTATTTGTAAGCATTATGTGTCCAGTGGTAAGGAGCCTATTAGAATAGCATAAAAAAAGAATGTACAAATTGTTATAATTGATTTATCAAAAATTTTTTTTTATTTCCTTCTCCTTCGGGACTTTTTTATTCTTATGTTCATAACTAAACCTAAAGATAAAAAAAATGCTGGCCTTCTAATGAAGGGAGGGGCCTCTTTCAAAATCGATAAATTCAGGGCCACTGGTCAGGGGTACCATGGGGGTACTTTGACTAAAAATAAATTAATTCTTTGAAATCTGCCCTTTGATAAGCAATGGTGCCTCTTTCAAAATTTGTGAATTTCATGGCTTTTGGCTTAAAACACGAACCAAATACAATCGCTGGAAAGTTGTTACATGATACTCAGGTGACCTATAAGGCCCGTGGGCCTCTTGTTATATATGTTTATGCCCAATGGGCCCTGATTTGGTAATAAATTCTATTCTATTCGATATTTAATTTAGCTTGATGTTATATATTTAGTTGGCATATACAGTGTAAGTCCTTAGTTGTTATCATACTTAACCTTAAAATTCATATTTTTCTTGCAGGAGATAGACAGCCTCCTGAGGTGTCCAATCTGTTATGATTTTATACACACTGCAATGATTCTGCCTGAGTGTTCACACACATGTAAGAATAATAAGACAGTGAAATATTTTAAGACAAGAAAACCAGACTTAATAATGTTTATCAGTTTAACTCAGATGCTTATAAGCACATATTGAATGAAAAGTTCTGCATTTTTCTCAGTTGATAATTTGATGGCTCATTTAAATACCGAGGGGGATCAAGTATTAAAATAATATGAGCCACAAACTTCTCAATGGAGAAAAGTTCTGTCTATGAAGCAAAACTCCACAAAAACATATTTCCAGAAATAAAACTTTCATCAATAATATTAAATTATTTAAGAATGGTATTTTTCTGCACTACTACATCGTAATTATTTTGAGCATATATTAAACTGTGAATTAAATACTAAAAATTCTGACTAATTGATGGATTATTAACCATTTATTGTCTTTTTACAGTCTGTTCTTTCTGCATTAGACAACATTTATCTCACACAAACAAGTGTCCGATCTGTAATAGTGTAAGTACAATATTGTTGATACATGCATATGTGTAATTGTGTATGTCAATTTGTGTTACAATGAATGGGTATGTCAGCATAGCAGTTGTTTCCCTTGGCTTAAGGAGAATAATAGAATCATTCATTTCTACGAAAGTGGGATAGTGAAATTCCACTGAGGGGACAAGATTCACAATCTAGGAAGAGGCTTTGCCAAGTCGTAGACCATGAATCTTGGCCATAAGGTGGAATTTCACTATCTTACATGAATATGTATTAATGAATGATTATTTTTCTCGCATTATTTTATCCAAAATAATGATCTACCTTAGCCATTAGACTGAAATTTTTTTATTTTTTTTTTTAATTTTCCATCTAATAATTAAATTTCTGAATTCATTATGAAACACAGCCGTCCTCGTGGCTTACACATGTGTTATACATTTGAACATTTTCCTTACTTCTGTGAAACTTTCATGTAATTGAACTGCATTGTTCTTTTGACAATTTGGCACAAAGCAAAAAGTTATTTTTTAAATTGGTATTCTTAAAATTTGTGAATTTATTTTGGGTCTTATCACAATATGTATGGGGCCAAAACCATAAAATGTATATGAAAATGATTTTTAATTTTTATTTCAATATATCTCCTGGACATCAAGCAGTCAAACTGTTTGCATGATTGTAATACAATTTAAATCCATCAGGTAAATATACTGTCATTAAATAAATGCTTTGTTTTTTAAATCCATAGGGTGTGGCTAAATATTTATATATTTGTGTTTTAAAATGCATTATTTCTTTGAAAATCTATATTCAAAATGTCATTCATAAAACAACAGTAAAAAAGATTAAAAATAATTGAGTAAATTTTTAAAATAGAGGGCAGCTAGGCCATCCTTAAAAAATTGTTTGTTTTGAATTGCCATCTGCAGGGATGGGGTAATTGAATAAAGTAATTGTAATTAAGTGTAATTAATTACATTTTTCAAAGTAATTGGAAGTAATTTGTATTCTCTGCCTTCAATTACAAGTAATTGAATGTATTTAAATACATTTCAAAAAAGGTCATGTATTTTCAATTACTTTTCAATTACATTTCAATTACTTTTGTTCAAAATGAAAGTTTCTTTTTTTCTTTGTCTCACGCATGCTTAATTAATTAATTGTAAATATTTTGTATAATATCCTCTTCTCTGTTTTGTAGGTATCAAATAAACTCTAAGTGCATATTTATGATGAGCAAGGTGTCTCATACCAAAATATTATACCGTGATATTTTATTCCCATGTTTTATAAATTCTGGTGTTTTCCCACTTGCAATTACCAATGATTGTTTATATAGTTAATTTGTTTTACAGCAATTCTTTGAAAATCTTTTTCTACCTGTATTCTATTCATTTTAAATAAAAATAATGAATGGAATTGTGATGATATATTATTTATTTCTATCCATCAAAAATTGGATTTTATGAAAGTAACAAAAAAAGATCTTGTGTTACACCATACTGGTGCTTGTGTTTATATAATAAAATTGTCTCATAATGTTTAATTTGTTTATCTGTGTCACACTATTAAATAAACCAACTAATTACATAGTTATGATGAGCAAAAATGCCTCTTCTAAAATTATGAATTTTATGGCCCCAGGGTAAGGGGCTTATGTTAAAAAAAAATCTTTATTTTTTATATAGTAAAATACATTAAATCTTTGAAAATTTTCTTCTCTGTCTCTGGGTATGAAACAGATGAACTACCTTTTTTTAAATAGTTATGATGAGCAAGGGCCCTAATTTTTTTTTAGAAAAATTGTGAATTCAAGGCCCCAGGGTTTTAAAAAAAGGCTCTACTTATATACTGAAAATGAATAATTGTTTGAAATCTGCTCATTTATATTTATAAAACATTTATTTATTTTTTGATAGGCAATTTTAAGGGTGCCTTTTTAAAATTTGTGCAATGTGTGGACCTAGGGTCAGGGGTTTATGTCACAGTGTTAGGGGCACTACTGATTATTGAATTATTGCTGAATATTACTGATTAGTTGGAATGCAATATTGTTCCCCTACCCTGGGTATGGGTACTAAGTAACCAACTAAGCAACTGCTAAGTGTATCAATGGTGCCTCTTTCAAAATTGTGAATGCCATATAGCATCTGGCTTAAAACATGAATCAAATTCAATAACTGGAAAGTTGTTGCATAATGCTCAGGTGACCTATAAGGCCCGTGGGCCTCTTGTTTTTTTTAATTTTCCATCTAATAATTAAATTTCTGAATTCATTATGAAAGACAGCCTACCTAAAATGGTTTACACATTATGTGTATACTACGAAATACATATCCTTACTACTGTGAAACTTTCATGTAATTGAACTGCATTGTTCTTTTGACAATTTTGTGCATGTAAAGTAAAAAGTGTACTTTTTGGTGCCCGGGTTGTGAATTTATTTTGGGTCTTATCACAATATATATCCATAATTCCATATTAAATGTATAAACTGAAAATGATTTTTAATTTTTATTTCAATATATCTTAAGGGCGCTTGTGAGAATAATTTAAGAAACAACAGGCTGATAGATGATGTGATATTACAATTTAAATCCATCAGGTAAATATATGTCATTAAATAAATGCTTTGTCTTTTATATCCATGCGATGTGTCTTATATTTTCATACTATTTGTGTTTTAAAACATAAGTATTTTGGAAAAGCTATATTCAAAATGTCATTCATAAAACAACAGTAAAAAAGATAAAAAATAAATGAGTAAATTTTTAAAATAGAGGGCAGCTAGAATTCACAGTGAAACCGACTGCAAAGGTGTCAGATTAGAACAAATCTCGCTGTATAACAGTGGTATTAATTAAAACATTACATTAGAAGTATTTACCCTGGGAATCATTTTCTGTTTTTTTAAAAAAATGAATTTTAAAATTTCTTTTAGATCCCATTTACTTGAAATAACAACAAAACATTCAACTGAAAAGGGTGGTAGCCACTGGAATTTGAACAAGGTAACCATTTGAGTTTAGGCCTAAACCATGTTAACAAAGATTTATTTTATTTCATTAATATTGAAATACATTGTATATACATGTATTAGTATTATGTTATATATTTATTGTAATACTTCATGGGGCAGTACTTTGGTCAGTATATGTACAGATGTGTGCCAAAAGTGAAGATAATTTTTACTTTTTCTCTATATACCCTAAAATCTTGAAAATAAGCCACCTATTTCTTGCATTAAAAATTACTCGAAAATAAGCCAGTTTTGAAATAAAGCCGGTCATGACAATGCCATTTAGGAAAGATGTTAAATGTTTGATGATTTCCTCGTCTTAAAAATTTGACGAGTGAAAACTTTGACGATTTTTTTACTGTGCAAAATAAGTACGAACGAGTACGAGTGATGATGTCATAGTACGAAGTCTGTAGTCTGTGGCTACTAATGAACGTATGTAAAATTAATAATAAAGGGTTGTTTATAAAGTTAAGTTATTTTACCAGTAATCATGTTACGCTGGCTAAAAAAATTACATCGCGGAACCAGCTAACATTGTGAATTTTTTTTATGAAATTGTCAGAACAATAATTATCTCATCTAGACCTATACAAGCTAACGATGTGTTTAAAGTTGTTATAATTAAATAATTAAATGGATAAAAGGATGTTTGTAAAGCATTTAACTGTCAGGTAATACTGCCCGAGGCAAGAAACCTGCTGATCGGCAGCGCTTGGTAGTAATTACATTTCAATGTACCGTATAATTGAGTTGTTTAAATATGTGTTTGTTTGATTAATTTATCAAGTGATTCAATTGCAAGTGGATATGTTATATATTATTTTTACTTTTTAAAAACAAGTTTATGTTTCATGTAAATTTATATGCTGTATACAATGAAATTAACTTTTCGGGATCGGCATTCTCACACAAAATATAAAGTACACGATTGATTACACCTTTAGACCTAAAGAAAGTACACCGGGAAATGCCAATGAATACAAAATTGACGAGAGAAAACTTTGACAAGCTAAAGTCATTCGTCCTCCTGAAACTTTCCACTTTTACATTATTTTTCTACACGCAAGATACTGAACAAAGTATTATTGTAATTATTTTATTTTATTATATTCATGACTTTTTAATTTTAGATCGAAAAAGTAGTTTTTTTTCTATCGATTACACTTTATTCAATGATTAATTTGAAAATAAACTTTGATTGTGCTCTCTTCTCTTACCAGTTTTTTGCATTGATAATAAGCCGCAATTTGAAAATAAGCCGGTCTTGAAAATGTGTGACTTTCTTACCAAAACTTAAAATAAGCTGCAGCTTATTTTCAAGATTTTAGGGTATTTCATTGAAAACAATATTTTGTAAAATCACTGGTATGACAACATTTCTTTACAAATTTTATCAGAAATTTCTTGATAATCCAAGAAATTGTTGTACTTGATAAAAGCAATAGTTTTTATCTGATCAGCATTGATATTTTAAAAATATTGTAATTTAACTGCAACATGAATTTTTAAGTCACATATATGATCTTGAATTTTAGAACTTGTGTTAATTGATGAACTATCTTTTAGTAAAAACTAAATATGTAAGTGATCTTTTAAAGAAAGACAGCTACATATTTTCTGGTTTAAGTACTGAAATAATTAAATCATTAAATTGGAAACAAAATTGACTTTTTTCAAATGATTTTTAAAAATGTTGTTTTCAATGAAATATATATAGAGAAAAAATAAAATTACCTTCACTTTTTGCACACATCTGTATATCTTTAAATTACTACAATATAACAAAATAAAAAACAAATGTTCTTTTTTGTTTTTAACAATTTACAAGTATTATTTAAACGATTACTATTTGAAATAGAAAATTGTGAACATAGCAATGAAAAAGAATTATGAAATTTTTCCCACAGAAAACATTGCAAGAAACAAAGACTCAAAGTTTCCTTCCAATTTCAAAAAATAATATTGCTTCAAAAGACAGAGATGTCATTGACCTCATATCAGAAGATGGAGAGGAAAGTGAAAAAGATTTGGTGGATCCAAAATCTAATGAGAATAAGGAGAACATAACTGAGGTGGATCAAGGATTTTGTACACCTAAAGCCAAGGCTGGTACACAACTCTGTGGTCTAAAGGAGGCGGGGGGACTCTCCACTCCCGAGACAAGGAGCCCAGCTAATTTAAGCATGTTTTCACCTTCACCAAGAAAAATGGGTAGGTTGAAGTGTCAATCTGAAATTTATTTCTCAGAGTTAATTTGCTTTAAAGGTACAGCTGTAGCTAAAACTGGCTTCAAGTTTTTTTATATAGAAGAAGTACTACCACTTTTTCAATATCCCCCCCCCCCCCCCTGCACTGATATTTAAAATTTACATGCCTGTAAAGTACATGATATACATATTTTTTGAAATGTGATGTTAATGTGTAAAGGATCGGATACTGGTATTTTCTTCCAGAACATGAAATTCTTATTTACTTTATCATTGCCATTGGTAAATAAAAATATATTAAATTTAAGAAGAAAAAAAACATGCTATCCCTGCATGCACACTTGATATTAAAAATAACCATTACATTAAAAAAAAATGGTAGAAGTCTGTCATCTCTTTTCAAAGCTTAATTTATTAAATGATATCAGACAAGTTTTCAATCAGACTGAATTAATGCAGAGTTATGTATTGACTTTTGATAATTGATAAGATTTTCAAAACTGGTTTCACTTTGTCCCTTGGTTTATCAATTTGATTGGTTAATCAGATTTCAGTTTTTCCTTGAACCATTGATTTAATTGGCTAGTCTGATTTCATTCATACATGCATTTGATTTTTTTTCATTGATTTCAGTTCCTTGCCCTGTTTGTGGAATTTCTTTAAAAGAATCTGCCATGAATGACCATCTAGACATTTGTCTTGGAGGAGAGGAGAAAAAGTCCGCACTAAGGAAGTATGTTTTTCATAAAAAAATAAAAATGGAAGTGTTAATAGTTTTGTACGTCCTTTAGTTTGCTCCTTGATTTATTACTTAGCCTTGCAAAATAGGAGCTACTTTAAATTTTTCATTTTTTGACACTGTTAAGTTTAAGATTGATAGATTTTTTTCCCCATTTTAAACGTACATGTTAAGTGACAAGTTAATCAAATTTTTTTGTATTGTATGACTGTAGGCAAACACCAAAAAGGAAACCAATGGCCAAGTTAGTGTACAATCTGATGTCAGAGAGGGACATCAAGAAAAAGATGAAGGAAGTGGGACTCTCTACAGCAGGAGATAAAAAAGTATGTTGAGTTTATAAAAAGTAACAGCAACTGCCTTCAAAAATTGGTGGAAGATCTCGCACACTGAACTTTGTAAATTAAAACTATAACATATACAAGGCACGTCCCTTGTGCACAATATTTACACTGTAATTTTGCATAGCAAATACAAGTATTTGTATCTACATTCGAAAGTTCAAGAAGACTGTGTTACTACTCTACAAAAAAGAATTATTCTGGTAAAAATAATTTTCTGTTCTTATTTTTTAGGCTTTGATCAGAAGACACCATGATTTTGTGATGCTGTATAATTCAGAATGTGATTCATTAAAACCTCGATCAGGTTGGGCAAGATAAGGAAATACAAATATTTAATACTTTTACGACAAAAGAGGAACTTTGAATTTGAATTGCTATACAGAAAGCAGTGATTTGTCTATAGCAATAATCAAAATATAGAGGTGATTTTTAGAAAAAATAAGGTCGTCATTAATATGCCTAATGCAATGATAAATACTGTAAACCAAGTATTATACGCGTGCGATAATTATCCGCGAGTTCCGCGAGTAACCTCTGCTCGCGGATATTTATCGTCGCGAACCATTTGCCCTTTTTTCAATACCGATCCCGACGGTTCAACAAGTAATCACGGAAAAAACTTTACTGTTAGTGTACAACATGTACAAGAAGCAGTTCAGAAAAAATAAAAACGAAAGGCAAAATTAATCTAAAACTATTAGTTTTAAAATGATTAAAATGTCAATAATCATTTCAGCTTGTGTTCATTTATTGTTACAGACGAGTCAGAGATAGCCTGGTTAATTACGGCTAATTATGACCCAGTCCTGCTCTGTCCAAACCATTTATAATAATTGCCCCTTGGCTATGTAGATTTTAGAAAGCGTCGATTACCCAATTAGTACGAGGCACTTTTACAATTGAGAGTTTTAAATCAATTTTAATCTCCTAGATTTTTTTCCGATTTTCGTTTGAGCGTTGTGAAAATGCGTATGAAGTATACTCATGGTAAACATTTTACCCATGCACTTTAGGGGCGGATATTTAAGGAATCACTGTCTAGTTAAGGGTATGTCAGGGCATCAACAATAGTGGGAAACATGGGATAATTTGCATAATTTCATAACGGGCGAAGCCCGTTATGCTTAAATTATCCCATGTTTCCCACTATTGTTGATGTCCCTGACATACCCTCCTAACTAGACAGTGATTCCTTATATTTCCATTTCATTGTGAAATAAAATTGTAGATTTAGACTTTAAAAATGTAGATAAATAGATTTAAATCACATGATGACTTCCATGCCAATTTCATTAGTCCTCGCCAACCGACGTCAAACACAAAGGCAGCCGCACGGGATTTACATGCATATTTGGCTTCCTTAGCGTCAGACACAGAGACAGATGCGCACGAGAATTGCATGCGTATTAGGCCTCCTTAGCCCCCGACCTATCGACCTCCCTAATTTACATTCCGGCAGAATTATCAAGAAATAAAGTACCCCTAACTTTCAAAGAGTTATCACAGAGAAAATAATTAGAAATGGAAATATAAGATTTTAAATGGACGCAATGCACAGAATATCTTAAATAATGCATAAGCAGACCTCACGCTACCATTTTACCTAGTTTATGGGCGGATATAAAATTTTAATTTGATTCAAAAATACTCGTGGAAATAAAAAAATGTGACCACTTGTTCGCGGAAATAAATCGTCGCGGATTAGTTCTCTAACGGTCAGTCGCGAATAAAAAATGACGCGTATAATAATTGGTTTACAGTACATGATACTTGGTCACTACCTTGAAATATAAGTGATATTTGGGTGAGGGTAAGAAAACGTGATAAAGGGCGAAGCTTGCCAAGCCCAAATATCTCTTATATTTCAAGGCAGTTACCACATAGTTTTGTTTATCCTGCAACATGAATTTTAAATTTG